CTGAAGTGAGGGATGGGGGTGTTAGCGGGTACTTGGATAGCAAGGCTTGGGAAACACAGGGGCCAGATTGCCTTAGCCTTGGCTCAGGAATGTCGGGGGGCTGCCCCTGGTGGTGGTGGTGCAGATAGGTATGGGAGAGGGGGAGCTTTCTGATGGGGGGGCAAGTATCGGCGTACATCCTGGACTCCACCTGCTTAGCTACTCTAGGTTAGGGTTGCTCACAGACCTTCTTTAAGACCTCTTGGGTGGAACTGACCAACTTTTTCTCTTGCCTCCCAGAAAAGGCAACACTGCAAATAATAAGGACAAGAATGTGCGTCAGAGGAATGCAAATTGAGCACATGGCAAGGTAGGATTTCTGTGAGAGCTGGGCAAGGGCAGTGGGGCCCCTGGAATGTGGCTGTCTTTCCTGCATTGTCCAAAGACACAAAGAAACCTGTCCTTGAAACTCTGGTTTTGCTTTAGAAAAGGACAGTGACAGAGAAGGGAGTCAGTGACTTCTCAGTCAGGGTGTGTCATAGTTCTCACTTCCAGAAGTACTGGACTACAACTCCCATTATCTACAAGGGGGATGAAAGTTGCAGTCCAACACATCTGTAGGGTACGATATTGGGGAAGGTTCCTATAGATGGAGCACCTGACAGGACCACAAGGGCCCAATTTGGGCCTCCATTTGCGTATTGTATCTACTCAGCCAGGTAATGGTCATCAGGCATTATTGCCCCATCCAGCCTACCTCACCAGGAATATTGTGAAGATGCAATGTATTGGTCCCATAATCAGGGCTATCCAGAACCTGTCCACATAAGAGAGGTGTCATGGTTCAATATTTTTACATTGTTTCCCCCTAATCTACTTAATTTAGTGCATAGGAACTTGAGTCTTGCATAGTTCCCATCAGCATTCTTTCATGCTGTACTTTGAAGTCATTCTTTGCTGGGGTTTGGATATTTGGACTTGCCCGTAACTATATTATGCCTCTGTGTATATAAACAACACCCCCAATACAGTGTGTTAATTGTGCCTAATTATGTATTCTGTCTCTCTCCTCTCTTTTTCAGGTGACATGAGAGCTAAGCAGATGGCTTAGATGTTTCTTCTGACTATTTTGTGCTGTAACACCAAGAATATTCTAAAGCATCCTTGCGAAGATTGGTCAAATTCACCTTTTAAGATAAACTTTTGTAGAGTAAAAGTTCTTTCCTTTTTTTAAAAGGGAAAAAACAGTGAGAGATGTTTTTACCTTTTAAGTTTTAATCACACACAGAGTTTTTTGTCTAGTCCTCACTGTTGAATCTTCAGAGCTGGGGGAAGGAAATTTAAGGAGTGAGGAGATTATGTTGCAAGAAAATGTTGCAGGCTAGTTTAAGATCTATCATCCCTCACTCAAGAATGTGCTTTTTTTTTTTTTTTTAGCAGCAGACCATAGGGGAAGCTAGTAAAATAGTCCCATTTAATGATGCCGTAGTGTGAAACAATCCAGAGTTTAAAGTGACTCTCAGCTTTAGGAAGGACAGTGCTTCAGCACTGAGTAAGTTTGGCCAGTAGAAGACTTTGCATCTCCTTCTCTTCCTTACTTGGTCTTCCTAGACCAGAAAGTCCCAGATCTCGCACACCATCTTTTCCAAATCATAGAGAGAAGATGCCAAGAAACAAGTGGTGCTGCTTGTGTGTGTGTGTGTGTGTGTGTGTGTGTGTGTGTTTTCTCTCTGGCTTCTTGAGCCTGGAAGACACAACCCGCTTTGCTTTCTTCTGTCACTGGTTCCCTAGACAGCATTCCTCTCTCCAGCCTTTGGGGCTTTCTGGAGACACTTCCTGTGCTCTCACATACAATGATGGTGCCATAATAGCTCAGAAAAGAAACACAATGAGAGCAACTTCTTTTCTCCTGCCTCCCCATTCCCACCCACACGCCACCTCAGTTACGTCAGAGCGTAAAGCCAGAACTGAGGCGAGAGGCGGAAGCTGATACATGTAGAATTGACTTTCCAGCCTATCTGATGGTTTCTCCTTCCACTCTCTTGACATGTTAGAAGACAATTAATTACAGAGGCCGAAAGACAGTGTAACACCCGTCTCTCCCCAACACCTGTTGGAGTCTGCCACGGAAGAGAATGTCCTCACAGCTTGTTGGCCGCCCTTGTTTTGGTTACTGTTGGAATAGGTTATTGTTTTAAATATGCCAGCTTTCTCTCAATAAAGCAGACTCACTTGTTTTGGCTTCTTTCCTTATTCTTGTTTCCTATTTTTGAATGATCGTTGGCTCCGGTTTGGAGTTTTCTCCTTGGTGTGAAACTAAGGGCTTGCTGCTGGCATCAGCCTCGTCCTTCCCTCAAGAGGGTTACCTTGCAGCGGGCGAGGCTGGCACGGGGGTTCATGACGAAGGGCAGACACAGCAGAGGAAGGTGGTGATATGGAGTTGCTGCTCTATGCGGGCCATCAAAGGTACCTACAAACGTGATTTGGGCCTTGGAGTCTGCTGGTGGCCGGGCTGTCACTTTGAAATAGGCATTATTCTGCACCGGTGGGCTTGTCCTGCTAGCAATCTCCCCGCTGCATTTGGTACCAGTGGCAATTTCTGAGGCGGCTCTGAAGGCAGCCCTGCAAAGCGTGCGTTACAGTAATCCAGCCAACTTTCCAGTACTGATTAATCACAAAATAAATGCAAGCTAAGGCCAACAATGCTGCCGACACAGCTTCATTCCTGAGGGCAGATCAAAGCTCCTTCTCCGAAGTCGTCCGAAGCTTTCCTCTGCCTGTGGATTTTGATGGTGCTCTTGATTGAGCCTCGCCCAGGCCCTCACGAGCCGGGACCCTGCAGACTCCCACCCGCCGCGTTGCGGGCATTGTTGGCAACAGTAACTTCCTCGGCCAACAATGCCCGCAGCAAAAGAGTGGAACTCTTAAGAGCTGAACCTGTCAGGAAAGAGGGTGACTGACGCATGGAAACACGGGAGTGTAGGTGGGGAGGAGCAACCGTCCCCTTTTCTGGAAGGAGAGGCAGGTATCCTGGAGCGAGTCCTTGCTCTGCTTCTAAGAAGAAACAGGCCAGGGAGATGGCAGCCAGCCTGGCCCAGGATAGAGCAGGGGAGTCAGGTGGCATATCAATTCAGTAAGTTATTGTTATTACTGTCATCACCATCTTAGGAAAAACGACCCTGGAACAAACGCCATAGAAAATAGGTCCTTACAACTCTTCCCCATATGCGCACACTTTTTCTTTAAAATTTATCAGGGTTACGTATTTTATGCTGCCTGAAATATGTTTTTTGCACCAAGAAATACTGGGGTGCTGAGTGCCTGAGGGTGTTACTCAGATTAAATGAGCACAGACTACTCTTCTGTGCAAGATGTGGAGGAACAAAAAACCCCCCAAGTTTCCATAAGTCAACATTAGTTCAGAAGACACCCGGGGCTCCTTTGCATCGCTTGCTACCCTCAAGCAGGCCCCCAGGGCCCTTCATTTGCTTAATTTTTTCTGTGACACCATGAAATGTGCTTGCCTGCTTGAAGAGGAGAGAACAAAACAAACCTGGGGAAAACCAGGTCAGAGGAGAAACTTGGATTGCTCTAAACAGCTCTGCCCCCAGCTGCCCAGTGGCAAAAGCTGCAAGAGCTGAAGATGGCGCTCGCGTTTGCTGCGGTTGCCCAAAACGCTCTCGGAGAAGGCAGAGGAAATATCCAGCCTTGTCCATGCATGTTCGTCAGTTAACTACTAGTGGAGTTTCGGTGCCAGAAACACTGGATTTAGACCCTGAGCTTGCTTTCTACCTTGTCCTAGAGTCCCCAGCTTTGGGGCAGTTTTTAGGATTTGATGAGGACAGTCCAAGACGGGCTCTGCTTTTAACGGCATTCCTTGCGAGAGTGATTTTTTACTTACATAAGCCAAGCCTGGGCTGTGCCACCTGCTGGTTTTTACTGATAGGAAAGGCACCAGCCGCGGCTTGAGATTTCAAATGCCTCATCAAGGGAACGTTTTATCTCCACTGAACATTATTTATTTTATCTTCTTATATATCAAATTTGTCACCGCCCATCTCGTTAAAAGCGGCTCTGGCCGGTTTATAGAAGAGGGAAAATCAATTAAAATACAATATAATAATTCTAATGAATATAATTATGCAGCTTACGTGTTCCATGACATACATGTGCATAGCACTCCTGCTGTAACACCAAAGCCGGTCCTGCGTCCAAGAGCTGGAATGCCCCCCTTCCCCAGATGTTGAAAGCCAAATCTCCAGCTCCTGCTGAACTTATTCCCATCACGTGGTGTCATCCAGAGGGGGATCTCTAAGGGGCGTTCCTTCCCCCCTCTCCAGACCCAAGCCCCATGACCTTTCTAGCTTGCATTCAGAACCAAGGGTGGGTACAGCCACATTAAACAATTACCCTCTCGGTGTTTCTCAGCCTCAGTAGCTGTAAAGTGGGTGGACTTCAACTCCCAGAATCCCCCCTGCCTGCCTGCAGTCGAAGCCCACCCATCTCAAAAGTTGCTGCGGTCGAAATCACAGCTTTAGTTCTATAAAGCTGAACATCCAGATGTGGGCAGTTATCAGAATGCAGCAATTAATGTACACGATAGTAGCAATTGAATTCCATAGGGGTAACTACCCTTCCTCTATCCTAACTAAGCTAACTCCTACTTATTTGGGAAGAATTCCTAAAGTTCCCCTTAGCTTGCTGGAGGAAGGTGTTTGGCAGGACCCTGAACCTGGGGGTTTCCAAACTTCTGGTTTGTGAGAATAAGAAGGCGGCAACGTGTTTTTGAACGCAGCAGGGACCGAGAGAAACAGGAGACCAATCCTGACCTTGCTGAACTGGAACAGTTTGTACAAAATAAAATGGCATTGGTCTGCTAATTCTTTGCAACCTAATGCATCAGCTTCTGGGCTGCAATGTTACTGCTGCAGCATCAGTTTTTTCACGACATGGAGAAATATATTGAGCACCCCCTGTTTGATAGCAACCACTAAGGCAGTGTTTCTCAACCTTGGCCACTTTAAGATGGGTGGACTTCAACTCCCAGAATTCCCAAGGAACACGGGTTGGTGGGGGAGTTTTGGGGGTTTAGTTCCACCACTTTTAAAAGGTCCAAGGTGGAGAAACACCCCACT